GTGGGTCGGAGCCGCATTGGGGTCCGTCGGGTGAATGTGAACAGACTTCTTCTCGCGAGACGACTGGAATGTTGAATCCATGGCTGGCTTCTTGGCTCGCAACAAGTCACTTGGGTCTGCATTTTTCTGGTATTCTTGCAATTCTGCCACGGCCATCTGGGCATCGGTGATCTTTGAGCCCTTCTGGAAACACTCTTCCGCCTTTTTCCGATTACCAGAGATAGTGATCACTCCTCTGGGACCAGGCATCTTCAGTTTGAGGTACATGTAACAAGGTCGAGCCATGAATCGTGCATAAGCCGTCCTGCCCAGAATTGCATGATACGCACTCTGAAAATCCACGACTTCAAACGTCAAATTTTCTTTGCGGTAATTTTTGGCATCACCGGAAACCACGTCGAGTGCAATCTGACCGAGGGACGCAGCCTTCTTGCCTGGGATGACCCCATGGAAACTCATGTGGCTTTCACTGAGTCTGGACATCGGAATGCCCATTCCTTTCAACGTTTCTGCGTATAGAATGTTCAAGCCACTGCCACCGTCCATCAGGACCTTTGTCAGTCGAATGCCTTCGACCACCGGGTCGACCACCAGCGCTTGCCTCCCAGGGGTGGCGATGTGCGTTGGGTGATCAGACTGGTCGAATGTAATGGCAGTCTGCGACCATTTCAAGTAATTGGGTGTCGCCGGAGCGACCATGTTCACTTCTCTGTTGATGACTTTCAATCGACTCTTGTTTTCAACACCAGCAAAAATCATTAGAGTGGAATTCACGTGAGGATGACCATCATCATCTTCCCCTTCACTCTCAGCATTGTCTGCCTCCTTCTCCTTTTCCTTGGGCTGTTTCTCTCGGAACTGCTGGATCAGGAGCCGACACTGTCGAGTGGTATGCTTCAGGTAAATGAAATTACCTTCTTCGTCTTTTTTAGTGTGGATATGGCACGGCAGATCCAACACGTCATTTCCATCTTGATCTTTTACTTTCTTGGGGTTCCACAGCCCTTTGGGCTTCCCCTTGAACTTTCTTTGAACCACAGCCAAGGCCTCACTCGGAGCAACTGGTTCGGCCTTGCGTTTTTGTTTCCGACTGGAGTTTCCTCCTCCGGCTTCGTGGGCGACTGCCTTGTGCTTGCCGCTCCGCAATCACTCCTCCTCTTCACCATTGGCATACTTGGTGGCGATTTCCATCATCCAAGTCAAAGTCATGTTCCCTGTCCGACCGAATTTCAAATTCAACTCTCGGTACCTGACGCCTTCCTTGAAAGCACAAATTGCCTGATGATTAGACACATCTTCCACCGTGTGGTGCAGGGTGATCCACCTCTGGATATAATCTCTCAAATTTTCATTCGGTTTCTGGACGCAACACTGTAATTTCGTCAAACCTGCTGGCCGCTTGCAAGTACCCTCAAACATTCTGACAAACACTCAGGCAAGATCTTCCCAAGTATAGATACTGCCAGGCGCCAACTGATTCAACCACGCCCTAGCCGAGCCCTCCAACATCAGAGGAAGGTGTTTCATGGCCACCTCATCATTTCTGCCATCAATCTGGACAGCCACTCGGTAGTCTTCGAGCCAGGTGTCAGGCTTGGACTCTCCGGTGAACTTACTGACTCCAGTCGCCAACCTGAAGTTGGGGGGAATCACTGCAGCTCTGATAGCTCTGTTGAAGCACTCTGGGCCAAAGACATGCACCCTGTTGCTGGTTTGCGGGCCTCTGTCATGGCCATCTCGGTGAGCTCTGTTTCTGTCGACCAAGCCTTGTACGAGAATAGATCTCGCATCAAAGCCTGGTTCCCTAGGGTCGACTGGAATACCTCTTCCGACGCTGTTAGGGCGCCTGTCTTCATGTGGCCGCGGCACGTACGACCCACTCCTTGGAGGAGGTGTGGGCACTCGACGGCGACCATTGCGATCGGCTCGACGATCATACTGCTCCTGGTTTCTGTACTGATCACGCCGCTCTCCACGTCCCTCATGCCTCGGGGGCGATCTCGGGCTATGGGCCGATTGGACCGTATCTGCGACCACAGATCTGCTATGGATCCTATCCCGCGACTGAGACACGGCCGTATTCTGCTCTCCTGCTGCCCGGAGCAAGGCCCTAATCTGCGCCAGACCTCGACCAGCTTCTGACTGGGAAGGTTGAATCGACTCTTCTATCCGGGCCGCAGCTGCTAGGTTTTGGATCGGTGTTCGGTATACCTGAGCCGGAGGTGGAAAAAGTTAGCGTCGGCTGGACTCAGGAGCACGTTGACGAGCGCGATCGTCGAGTGCGCGCTGTAGGTTCTCCAACCGAGTGGGCTCAACCAGATTTGCCAAGCGAGCCTGTTCCAAGGCCTGGGCCTCGGGCATTTCTCTAACGATAGGAGTATGGAGGGCATCCATGTTTCGACGATGAAGTTCTTCTCTCTGCTACGAGGAGAGAGGCTCGAGGCGGTACTCCTCGTGAACGCGCGACGGATCACCGTTCCCGTCACCTCCGTCTTCACGACCGAAGCCAGGAGGACCGCGTGGTCCATTGACCATCAGGACTTCCGCTGCCGGGTCATTGCTACCGCACTCGGATACAGTCTCTACGGAGCCAGTCGACAGACTGAATAGGCTGTAGAGAGACTCGTCGGGCTCGAGCGCCGCGACTTGAGGGGTGGCCGACTGGCGGGCCACCGCATGCTTCACCCACCGTTGAACCCTCGACCGGCCGGTGCGCTTGTTCCGGCGGGTCACAGGGAGGGGGAAAGCCATAGGAGTCGACTGGTACTGGATCGACGGTTGCCGCAGGAGGATGCCGCGGACGCACGCGTGAAAGTGCGTCGCCCCGCGGGCGGGGAGCGCATCGACGTCGAGTGGTGCCTCCTGAAGCCAAGCGGAGTCGTCGGTGACAAACACGAGCGCGCGAGACGGATCTCGCGGCCCTCAGCCAACCCTCCGCCTGGAACCATGATGATGGGGATCGGAAAAATTGCAACTTCTCCAATAAGTCGCTAAGACACCTGCCCCACGGTGGGCGCCAACTGTCGTGGATCTAAGACTGACAGTAGAATGGGGGGTAGGTATAAGGAGGCAAGATCCTAGCTATGGAGTAGTTGTACGCATGAGTTTTACGAGTTCAGGCCCTTCTCGGAGGAAGTAACAGCCCTACGTCTCGGTGCCCTGAGGCGGTCGACTGGATTATACGTGTGTGTGTGTGTGTGTGTGTTTACAAAAATGCGAACCCTTGTCCCAGAGGAGGGAGGTGGCTTATATAGAGTGCGTCAGGACCCCGGCTCCCCTCCGTTACACAGAGTTCAATGCTTATAAAGGAAAGACGTTACATGTAACGTCTACAGTAAATGTCATAAATGCTCATAGTGCTATGGTTTAAGTCTTAACCGTTGCAGAGTGGAGGGTTCCTCATCTTCTGGTGGTCGAGTGTCTTCAAGGTGGTCGAGTGAGCGCATCTCCACGGTCGAGTGGATGATGATTTCTCTTCGATTGCTTTTGCTTCTTTGTAAAGATGTCCTTGGGGAGGATACGCTGGACAGATCCATGACCCTACCCTAGGTACATAGCTTCATCAGCCCTCCCCTCCCCCACGGTACTGCCGCGTCCAAATCGGACGTCGCATTAAGAAGGAGGAGTTGTTCTCTCCGCGTAGCATGTTCGGTCGCTTCGACTAGTCAACATCACCGCTTGGACTCCTCTCGCATGGCAAGAAGAGGGCGCCACCATCATCGCCCCGTCGACGCTCTAGTTGCTATGAAGAAGGAGCCCTCCCTGACGCTCCTGAACGCCGGGGCGAGGGGGGGCTCCTGCATTACCTCGGTCGCAGCTGCGCCACACGTCGTCGCGCAGCACCGTGGCTACGGCCAAGTAACCGGCGAGGGCAACGCGAGGGGCGGGTGGACCGGGGCGGCTTCTGCAGCCGAGCGGCCAATCAGGGCTGCCACAACCCCTACACATCATTCCGCTGCTGGAAGAACCAAGATGACAGCGGTGACAGAGCGGACGACAACGGAGGTCCTGCTGGCTAGGGAGCCTATGCAGTACGGGGTTACTGTCCGGTACCTCACTTCCATCGGTCGGCATCATTCATTACATTTAGCACAGAACACCAGTAAACCATAATGCTACACTTATGAAGGCTAACGTAACAATTTACGTAACCTTCCAAGAATAAGGTTAGTCATAGTGGGAGTAACTTAGGTAGTAACATAGCGCACTTTAAGAAATTTTTGCTTATGTGGCAAATAGTTAATGAGAAATGGTAACATAATACTATGTTACTGTAACATAGCGATTTCCAAGACAATATGAGTCTATAAGCTATTAAATGAAACCACTATTAGGCTAGTCGTAATGATAGTATCATAGCTAATGTCATGCATATCAACTAGGCAATTTTGATGAGGTGTCATAGACTTAAATGAAGAAAGAGAGGGTTGAGTATCATATCATGATACTGTATCATAATAAATGCTATGCTACTATGTGTCATGCATGACAATGAATAAAATACTACATGATAATAATATATGATACTACGCATTACGGAGGTACTATCAAACACTAGTATTGTATGCATGATACTAGTATATGATATTCCACGTTACAACCACCCTTATATTACTTTGCACTATAAAGGTAGTAATTTAGACCAGTGTCATATGCATGACACTAGTATAAGCTACTCCCCACTATGACCAGCCTAATTCTATCCCCCATTTTAACTGGGGTGAGCCCCACCTTCCCCTTGATCCCAATCATAAAGTGTCATCTGGCCTATTACGTGGATGTAGCATTGTCCCCCCAGTAAAAGACGGTCAGCAGTCGACCGCGCCGGAGAATTCGTATTCGGTTTTGCAGCTACGCAGCCACCTTCTTGGAAGTCACTCCACTACAGCATCAAGAAAGACAGTCAAACCAAAGTGTAGCATTCACTTGTCCAGTTTTGTCCACAAAAGGCACCACCGCACCACTCACAATTCTCACAGAACCAAAGTGTTCGACGGAGCATGGCCTCCAGCTCGAGAGACGACCGTGCGGGAGCTGCAGCGCCGCGCCCGCGCATCGTCCTCCTCCCGAGCGCCGGCATGGGCCACCTGGCGCCCTTCAGCCGTCTCGCCGCCGCCCTTTCCTCTGGCCACGCCTGCGACGTCTCCCTCGTGACGGTCCTCCCCACCGTCTCGTCCGCCGAGTCCGGCCAGCTCGACGCGCTCTTCGCCGCGTTCCCGGCCGTCCGCAGGCTCGACTTCCACCTCCCGCCGCTCGACGCGCCCGAGCTCTCCGGTGCCGACCCGTTCTACGTGCACTACGAGGCCACGCGCCGTTCCGCGCGTCTCCTCGCCCCGCTCCTCGCCGCCGCCGACGCGTCCGCGCTCATCGCCGACATCTCGCTGGCCTCCGTGCTGATCCCCGTGGCCAGCGAGCTCCGCCTCCCGTGCTACGTCTTCTTCACCGCGTCCGCCACCATGTTCTCCTTCTACGCCTACTACCCCACCTACTTGGACGCCACGGGAGCCGGCGACGCCGACGTCCCCGGGGTGTACCGCATCCCGAAGTCTTCCTTCCCGCAGGCTCTGCACGACCGTAACAACCTCTTCACTCAGCAGTTCGTCGCCAACGGCCGGAGCCTGTCGAAAGCCGACGGCCTCCTCATCAACACGTTCGACGACTTGGAGCCGGAGGCCGTGACGGCGCTGCGACAGGGCTCGGTTGTCCCTGGCTTCCCGCCGGTGTTTACCGTCGGGCCGCTCAGCCCGGTGAGCTTCCCGGCGAGGGCATCCTCTGACTACTCGGCATGGCTCGACGCGCAGCCGGAGCGGTCGGTGGTGTACGTCAGCTTCGGCAGCCGGAAGGCCTTAGCCCGGGACCAGCTCAGCGAGCTCGCCGACGGTCTTGAAGCGAGCGGTTGCCGGTTCTTGTGGGTGGTGAAGGGCGCCGTCGTGGACAAAGACGACGGCGCCGAGCTCAGCGAGCTGCTCGGCGAAGGATTCTTGCAGCGGGTGAGCGGCCGCGCACTCGTGACCAAGGCGTGGGTGGAGCAAGGGGAGGTCCTGAAGCACCCGGCCATCGGAATGTTCGTCAGCCACTGCGGCTGGAACTCGTTGACCGAGGCGTTTGCGACCGGCGTGCCGGTGCTGGCGTGGCCGAGGTTCGCCGACCAGCGGGTGAACGCCGGCATTGTGGCGCGCTGTGGGGCCGGCGTCTGGGTCGAGCGGTGGAGCTGGGAGGGGGACGATGGGGTGGTGAAGGGGGAGGAGATCGCGGAGAAGGTGAAATCAGTGATGGCAGACGAGATGTTGAGGAGGAGTTCTACGGTGGTCCGCGAGGCCGCGACGACGGCCGTGGCTGGTGGCGGGACGAGCTACCGGAGCTTGGCGGAGCTTGTGGCACGCTGCTGTCATGGTAGTGCCTTACAGTAACGCGACATCAGAGGAAGGAATCTTGGACAAAAACGTACGGCGTAATTGGTTTGCTATCAATATTCCAACATTTGGCAAAATCAGAAATTGTTAATACTTGACAACTTTTTGTGAGATTTGCAATGGAAATTGGCAAGCAACCAATCTCTAACCAATATTTGGCATGTCAACTTTTGGCATCAATCCAATTATGCTCGTGGTATTTCCGATCGAGTAGTTTTAGAGGGATTGACACGATGATTCCAAAAGTGTGGGAGCAGTAGAACGAAAATATGATATTTGCGATCGGGATTGCTAAATCTTACTCTCAGTCGATGCTATGTTTGTGGGATCTTAGATGTAGATTCGTGTAAAAAATTAATTTTGAGAAATTGTAATTTCCGAACGGTCTCACTTTGTCAATAGGGCGGAACGAGTTCGATCGGCTCCAGACAGAGTTCAGGCAGAAAAACCCGTTGCTCTTCAGCACTACCGGTTGATTACTGGGAGCACGACGCCCCAATACATGTCCGGATGTCCCTACACCGACGAAATCCACATGTCCTGGCCGGTACAGTTTTGCGATTCTTGGTAACTATGAAACGGCCGCCTTTCGTGGAGAAGATGGAGCTCCGAAGGTGACGGTGCAGGATGTCTTGTACGGGGGTGCTAGGCCTCAAGGCAAGTTCGATGTTCTTGCAGCGAAATCTCACTTGCCACCACACTAGTACTACGTGTTTAACTGTGAGGTACGGGCGCCACGGCGTGTGGTCACCAGGAAGAAGAACAACCACAAGATTACTCGCGGTTGATCGTGCCATGTTTGCTCTGTGTCACTTTGTTGGCCCATGCACACCTTCCACAAGGCATTTTCACTAGTAGCATGTATTATGTATGCATGCAGTGATGTATCTGAATCTCTAATGCATTATTTGTAATATACTCCTGCCGTAGTAGTGTTCTAAACCCTCTTATATTAGTTTACAGAGGAAATATTATCTAGCTGTATAAATTTGTAATAATTTGCATTTGTATGTAAAAACGGGTTCAGTTAAAAGAAGAGCAAGTTAGAGTACTAAGTTACATTTTGCTTTTCAAAATAGAGGAATTTTTTGCCTCATTTATTAATTAAGAAGATCAGAGTTGCCCAATTAATGAACAGAAAACTGGGTGAAACGTACCCATCACAACACGCTGAGCGACACATGCACACCACTCTAAAGAGGGCCTCGTCTACATAGCACTCTAGGGTCATTGTCATCACTTCTCCCCAAGCAGGCGTCATCGCCATCCCTAATCATCAAGCAAGCAACTTCGACTTCATAGATGAACGTCGATCCAACCCACACCAAAGGGGCCGTGCAGAGTCAGAAAGAATATGTGACAGCGACAGAACTTAGTCACCCGCGACAGAGACAGTGCAGCTCTGACTCCAATGAAGAGCCACGAAGGAGAAAGATCAGGGCTAGCACCGTGAAAGATCATTGAAAAGATCGCTCGTTGTACGTCATCGTCGCCACTGGGTCCTGCCACCATAGCTTCGACTTCGAATCAACAAACAAAACCGAGGTAATCGCACAAACACGCCGGAGCTGCAGCCGCCAACATCTGATCACACGGGGTCTAGGGTTTCTCCTGGAGGTGCATCGGCAACTGAATACAAGCGGAAGGGGTATGGTAGCAATGATGTGATGCCTCCAATAAGTCAAGGGTGCCCGCAGCCGCCATCGTTACCTCTTCACCGATCTTCCCACACACCCTCATCTGCATATCAACCTGCACCGGCGCCGGCAAGCACATCAACCACCACCGAACTTGCCCGTCGACAAGGACGCACATAGAAGCCACTGCAGCCACCCGCACCTTGTGCAGACCACTAGCGTTATTAACCACTGGTAGGCAATCTTTCCATCAACGAATGACCAGGAGCAAGACCACCGGACGGAGGAGTGTCACCCCAGGCCAAGAACCACCACAATTTTGTGTCGTAACCATGCACCAGACGCGCTGACGTGTGTCACTGCACACCCCCGCTCCCTCCCCTCGGAGACCAGAGACGACATGTCCACCCCCAACGCATCACGAAAGCCACTTCACTGGGCCACCCCTGGCCTCCGAGACGCGCCTCCCAAGCAACAGCGCCACCGCGCCAGCTCCACGCACCAAATTTGCGCCACTTGAAGCCCTCGCCCGCGCACGACGCACCATGTGCGTCTACTATGTGCCACCATTCACAGCCACGCCAACCACCCAACACAACCACACAGTGTCGTCGCGCGACCTCCACGTGCTACATCCTCGCAACCTAGACCTCGCGAGCCCCCTTCGCCCTGAAGCCTCGCAATGCCGTCGCGCGACCTCCATGTGCTAGACCCTCGCAACCTGGAACCTCGCGTGCCCCCGTCGCCCTGTGAAGCCTCACAGCGACACCCCCGAGTTGCCTATCCGCACCAGCGCCACCCCGATCGCGTGCATCTACTCGAGCCCCCGTCGAAAGGAACGGCTCGCGCCGCCCAGCCCCGAGCGAGAGGGGGAAAGGGCACGTCGCCGCGCGGGGCTGCCCGGTGACTGCTGGCGGTGGCGAGGTGAGGAGGGAGTGGCGGGTTTGGTGCCGGCGGCGACTACGGTTTGCTGGCAAGTCACCTGTAGACTTGTCGCAACCTCGAAGTTTTATCTTTTTTCATAGATCCTTATTCAAAACATCTCATCTTTTAAACCACATATCCAAATCTCGAACCATTTTCATCGTTGGATTCCTCGTGTCGACATCTTCAAAACTAGATCTCATATTGACAGGTTTTGACGAACTTCTTTTTTCACGAAAAAACAGAACCGGGAGCACTTTTTTTTCTTTCCGAAAGCTGTTTCGAGAGGCACGACCATGCTTTTCATGGAAGTAAAACCGTGCCTCTCACGAAAGGAAAAATATATGTTTTTTCCGTTTCCGAGAGGCACGCTCGCGGATGCAAAACCAAGCCTCTCACGAAAGGAAAAATGCACATTTTTTTCTGTTTTTCGTGAGGCACGGTCATGTTTCTCGCGAAAGAAAAAAATCACACACAAAAGGAAATTCAAAATTTTTTTGTTGTCGAAAAGTTAAGAAAGACCAGTGAGAAACCGAAAAGCCTAAAATACCATCTAAACGAACAAAAATATCCCATCTTTACTGCGCGAGCAAAACATGGGCCGCGAAGGAACTCCCATCTTTATTGCACGAGCAAAACATGGGCCGCAAAGGAACTCCCATCTTTATTGCGCGAGCAAAACATGGGCCGTGAAGGAATTCCCATCTCTTTTTATTGCGCAAGCAAAACATGGGCCGCGAAGGTTTGCTGCTAGGGATCTC